GTCGCGGGTTTGAGTCCCGCTGGGGGCATTCATTTGTGTGATAAGCACGAATGTTTGTTCTCCAGTTATGGGTGTTTGTATTTATAATATGTACGTATTTAAAATTATATATGTACCTATAGTGTATCAACTATCTGGTATCCTTAACACAAGCCTCGTAGCTTACCATGGAACTAGATGGTGATGTGTGTTAATGTCCCAACATATTTATTTATTTATTTATATTATATTTTTGCATATATTAAGTCTTTTCTTGCTTTATCTGATATCGAATAGTTAAATATTTTAAACGCTTTAATATTTTCATGTGAAATAGTAAAAACAGAATTAAACTCAATTATTTCAAAGTAATTAAATACTCGTTCACTTGTAAATATGTATTTAGTATAGGAAATTATGAACGCAGAATGCATAAAGCATATATTTTTTTGATCATGAATTGAGTTCAAGGTGTTATGAATAATATATGTTATAATAATTTTCTTTGCCCGATCAAATTTTCTAGAATAGTGATTGCATAAAAATAATGTTATAACATAAACACACACAGCGTTAAATATTAAATCATATTATTTTTATACACGTCTACCGAACCATGCGATATGATGTTTGCGTTATATAATTTGCGTACGTGATCGCGCGTTTTGTGCCCTCGATGTGAAATCTACAGCAACGCAATAGATGTATGGGCGGAATTTTAAGTTTGAACACCCTTAATTAAAAAAAAACTTTATCTTTTTCAAAATAAAAAAAAAACAATCTTATCTTAATGGTACTCGGTTGTAATCTAGTAGGTGGGCGCGCGAAATAAGTCACCGTTAAATAAGTTATCGTGATCGAATTATTATAAGGCAACTATACCTACATTTATTTCCTAAAATCAGAGTCTAAGCCAGTCAGTAGTAAAGTCGATCTTCTGCTTATTATTAAAAAAATACTTTAATTTTAATTAAATAAATATAAATAAAACTATCTTTTCGGATTTTTTCGCGGATTTATTAGTTCCCGACGTTTCGAATGTTTCACAGCAATCATGGTCACTGGAGAGTCATTATAGTTGTTGCACATAACTTATTAAATTTATATTTTTTTTTAATTAAATAAATATTGTATAATACTTTGGTGCCATTTTTGTATTTTTGAAATCATTGTGTAATTTTGTGGGTAGGCGCGGTCTTTAAAATGTCAAATATTCGCGTAAATATAAGAAAATATTAAATAACTTATTATATTATTACTAATTCCAAATGAAATGTGGTCAAAGGGCCAATTTACTAAACGTAATATAACATGTTTATTTTATCTACTCTCTGAGTCTTCCTATATCCCACCAAATAAGAGCATGTATTACGCGGAGTCTATTCTGTCGCAAGTACGATTTTCTTACTTTAATTCTGTTTCAAAGGTTGGTGACTGCTATTTACAATATATTTGCAAGTAACCAAATTTTTACGGGGTCCCCATATTTTGTAGTTTTAATTAATATCAAATTTATTTGGTAAGCAAGTGTAATATTAAACAAAAAACTATTTTTTTATTCTAATTTAATTAGGCAACTGATCTGCGCTATACATATTTGTTTAAATATTGTATTTGAAACAAAAACCTTTTTATGGATGAAGTACGGACCTTACTTTAGATATTCTTCCAGGTGTAGTAAATAGAAACAAAGTGACACCGCACCTCGTTATTATATGTATAAGTTTGTCAAGTAAATGCATTTAATTAAGGCGCTTCTGCAAAAGCCTTTTAATTTTAAGTAACACAAATTATTTTTGAATCCAAGGAAAAATGTGATATTATAACTTATAAAATATATTTCATGTCTTGCTTACTGTATTATAAGTTATAACTTAAGTGTCTATTTAAAAGATTCAAATGCTTATTATTCGTTTTAAAGTTTATTATATAAACATAACCCATTTAATTATTTTTCGTCCGGGTTTAGTATAGATTTCTCAGATATGAGATATTTTCCCGCAGTAAAATTCGACTTTGTTAGAATTTTATTATATGTATAAATATACATATACCTAATAACAACGTACACATTTAACACTCGCTTTGACGTATTATGCCGTAAAACTTGTCTCAAATGTCGTATATTATTATCGGAACAGCTTCATAAATACCACTCAATCTTATTAGATTGCTATTGTGCAATAGGAAGTGCATACTTCGCTGCATCTCAACCTGTTGGTTGCATACTCTTATTACTTTCAAATTAACCGTGGAATAAATTATCGAATATATCATTTGGTTGCTTGAAATAAATTATAAGGTTAGCTATCACTCACTATTTTGCTTCGGAGTTACATGTTTATAACTAACTAGCGACTCACCCTCGCTTCGTTCGAGTTCGTACATAGCTTGCTTCCCAATACAAATTTTCATCCCCATTTTCACCCCTTAAGGGATGATTTCCGGAATAAAAAGTATCATATGTCCTTCCCAGGGTCGCAAACTGTATTCTAACCATATTTCATCTAAATCGGTTCAGTAGATCCAGAGGTTACCCCCTACAACGTCACAAACTCACAATCTTACAAACTCACAAACTTTATAATATTAGTATAGACTAGCGTTTTCCCGCGGCTTCGCCCGCGTAGTTCGGCTGTGGAGTACTATATCTTTATAATTAAATCCTATAATTTTCTTCAATTAATGGGTTATAAAAGGCAAAAAAAAAATCAGTCAGACCAGTTATTAGTCGATTCAAAGATTAAAACGTTCAAACAATCAAATAAATTCTTCAGCTTTATATGTAAGTAAAGAAAGTCAGGTGCTTATTTAGGCATGGATGGTAAATTCTAATAATATAGAAAATATAAGTACACCTCTATGATAAAATCATGAATTCATACATTTTTTTAGTAGACGATAGAATCCCTTATTTTGACAGCAGCCGATAGTGCCGTTTATTTGAATCCTTTTCTGGAAAGTGAACAATACATAATAACATATGAAAATTTATATTTCTCCGTATTATATCATCAGCCTGCTGCTGTCCACTGCTGCGCATAAGGCTCTCCCTCTCCCATGTCAAGCTATTGAGCTCGATCTTTAACTATACGCAAATGCATAGTCAAATATTTATGTGTTAAACTATATATTACGCATATAATATAAGCATGAATAGTAAGCATGAAATCATATAATATGTAACAAATGAAATAAATTATTAATAAACAATTAACATTCGCATTCACATTATAAATGTAACTGTTTTGACTGTTTTACTTAATTCTTTAACCTGTAACCGCATAAAGGATTCGAAAAAAAACTTCTATTACCCAAGACTATCTGCTGGTTAAGTTTTATTACCTTATTTTGCTTAGCTTATCTATTGCTAGTTGCCACCTAATTATACAAAAGTAGTATTTTAAAAAAATAATAAAAAAGTTGTCGTGAAGACTGCCGACAGAAGAACACTTTTAAACTATAAATAAACAGTTTTATTTTTGGATATTCAAATTATTTGTTTTTTCTTAAATTAAAATTTGTAAATTAAAACTGTTCACAAAATCTGGTTTTGACATCTATCGGAAGTCTGAGTGTTAGCGTTAACACGTCACGTGACCATGTCGATGACGACTTACCTGAATTTACTCCCCATCCAAACCTGCCTATAGAAGTTTTCACTTAAATTAAGAGTTACCTCACAAATGGATGATTTATTTGTTAAATTATCGGAGGAGTTTTTGACGATATAAAGGATTTTTTAAATTTGAACACTATGTAGTAGCATAAAGCTTTGTTTACTTTTAGGAAAATTTATGTGTACAAAATTATACTTATTTAGAAAACTATATAAAATTGGCACTTGAATGTGAAATGTAAGATGTGGAGCTATTTTCTGACATTTTAACTATCTTTTCTTCCTTTTTTTTGTGGAAAATGTTGTCTCATAATAATCCGCCCGCGGCTCCGCCCGCGTTCAGATTACCAAGAACCAAATTCTTAAGTTTTATATATTAGTAAACTCTTACATTGCAGATTTTTTATTTTTTCTCAGAAATGAGATATTTTCCAGCGGTAGAAAGTATCCTATATGTTGATCCGATTAACCAGCTATCACCATACCTTTCATCAAAATCCCTCCAGTGGGTTTTCTGTGATGCGGTAACAGACAGACAGACAGATAAAAATTCTAAAAACTATAATGTTTATTTCAATAAGATTTTCCAAAAAATATCTAATTCACAGATTCGGCTTAGTTACAATTTTATTATGTATAGATTTTTTTATATTGACATAACTTTTTTATAAATCAATTGACATAAAACACTAAATGTTAAATGACCACAATACATTAAATAAATCCGCACCCGAATTGGTTAAGCCGTTTCTGAGATTATCGCGCACAAACGCACAGACAAACAGACAAACCGATAAAAATTCTAAAAATCATTGTTTTTGCTTCTATTACGTTAATAAACACCCCCAATAATAGTAATTTTCAAATATCTTTCATTTACAGACAGCGATCTGTTACAAATTTATTATATGTAAGACGATGATATGATAACTATCAATATTAATTGCTTATATTCAATAGACATTAGTATGTGATATTTGAGAAATTAAGAACCACAGACAAAGAATTTTTAATTCAATAGATATACAACGACAAAATTGTACACTAGTTGATAAACATAGTCCAACTATGTAGTTTGGCTATTCCATCACAGATGGCGCTGTTGCTATATAGAAAGTTATTAGCTAACTAAAGTTACTTGTTTGTATTTATAGAATAAGAATTATTATTGATTGCTTGATCCAACTTTTAACATGTTTCAATAAAATATATCTAGAAATTAGTAAAATATACAAATAATTATATTTAAAATTCTTTACTAACAAGTTTCAATGTAATATAATAATTATGTACATACTTAATTACAATTGTTTTATGCATAAACAACTAAAAGTACTTTGTGACATAAATAGTTCTTTAGCGTTCAATGACTATAAACACTCAGCAATATTAAACACTGTCATAACACCAGCCAATCTTCTTTGATCATGTCGGAGGCTTTCTCGGCTATCATTATTACAGGTGCATTAGGATTACCACTGATAATAGTTGGCATAATACTAGCGTCCACCACCCGAAGATTTGCTACTCCATGGACCCGCAATCTTGGATCGACGACAGCATCTTGGTCATGGTTAGGACCCATCTTACAAGTTCCAGTTGGATGGTAAATGGTAAAAGTGAAATGTTTAAGACTACACTCCCAATATTCGTCACTAAACAAAACATGCTGTTGACAGCCCGGTAATGGAATGTTATGCGGTCGTGAACCATATTTTTGGAATGCAGTCGTATTTGATAATGCAAAGGCTATACGTATACCTTCTGTCAATACCTTTAAATCTTCCTTATAAGCGAAGTAATTGGGCTCTATTGATGGTGGGTGGAAAGGATTTCGACTCTTAAGTTTTATCCAACCTGAACTTTTAGGACGCAATAGCAGAGGTAATATTGTCCACGTCTCTGCTTCCTCTATCGGTTTATAAACGGTATTGTACACTCGGTCACGTAAATTCAATATTTTTCGTATTTGTTCACCGCCGTCCGAATTTACTGAGCTAGGTGCAAAATGAAACTGAACATCTGGCCAATTTCCAGACGGAGGAGCATATTTTGTATTTACAAATGCAAGACCTTCTACACCTTGTGTTGTCATCGGACCTTTTTCATATAAAATATAGTTCATAGCTACAGATAGAGATTGAAAACGATCTTTTTTAAATGTTATTGGCTTGTTGACGATAAAAGTAAGGCCGCCTAATCCAACGTGATCCTGTAAGTTATGCCCAACTTTAAGATTTGCCACCAGAGGTATCCCATGTTCCCGTAAGTGATTTGCAGGGCCGATCCCGCTTAACATCATTATCTGAGGAGTAGCTAAAGCACCAGCGGACATTATCACTTCTCGTTTAATTCTCACTTTGTGCTTTTCGCCGTTACGATAGAATTCTACGCCATACGCTTGTTTTTTGACTGGGTTTATTAATATACGTGTAACTTGCGATGACATGGCTATGTGTAAATTATCCCTGTTGCGTACTGGTCTAAGAAAAGCTTTTGCAGTACTACATCTACTTCCTCGTCGCATAGTTGCTTGAGTTAGCATAAAACCCGTTTGTTTCTCACCGTTTATATCGCGAAATTCATAACCCAATTCCCTGCCACCTTTTAAAAATGTAATTGCTAACGGTGTTCGCCACGGGGCTTCTTGAACAGTCAAATACCCGCCGGAAGAATGGTAAGGCGTATTAACTAAGTACGGATTGCGGTTGTCCTCCGATTTCAAAAAGTACGGTAATACTTGATCATACGACCAGCCGGGATTGCCGAGCGCTTCCCACAGATCGTAGTCGTTTCGATTGCCTCTGACATACACCATAGCGTTAAGGACGCTGCTGCCGCCGAGTACTTTGCCTCTAGGCCAGTTGCAACGGTCACCATTCATAGCAAGACAATAGGAACGATTCTTGGAAGGTGTCGTTTGAAACTTCCAATCCATTTCAGAGAGTTGTGTATATCCGGCCAGAGCTGGAATGTCCGAGATCTCGTTCTCATCCTGTCCAGCCTCGAGGAGCAGCACTGTCCAGTTACTGATCTCGCTGAGCCGTGAAGCGACGACTGCGCCTGCAGAACCCCCGCCAACTATCACAAAATCGTAGATCGGCATTATCTGTAATTAAATTAAAGAAGGTCTTATTATAAAAATAAAATAACTGTTATTATATTATACTCGTATAAGTAATCTAACTAGCAATGTGCATTCTTTTCAAATAAAAAATATATTCTATACATATAAACATTTTTTGAGTCGAATCTGTGCATTAAGTATTTATTATAGAGGCCGAATCTATACTTTTTAAAAATTTTGTCTATCTTCTGTCTGTCTCAGATCGCATCACGAGAAAACGACTGGACAGATTTTGATGAAATTTGGTATGATGACAGCTTCTTCTTCGGGTCAACATTTAGGTTACTTTTTACTGAGGGAAAATATCTCATCTTTGAGAAATCTATACAAACCGTTACAACGTACCAAGAGCGAACCCAAGCAAAGCAAGGGTGAGTACCAAATACCTAAATAAAAATAGAAACAAGACGACTTTAAAATCACTTAAAAGTTATTTCACCCTTAGGAGAGATTTTTTATTTGTATAGTTCGGACCGCCTTTGAGGTATAACTTATTCATCAAAAAAAAAATGTAAATCGATTCCTAATTGGTGAAGAGGTCTCTGTTACAATTGAATAAAACTACAGCCGAATTGAGCACCCTTAAATACTTTTTGAAGTCGGTTAAAAAGAAATTATAGATGTTTTCTATAATGTAAATATCAATTCTTACTTACTGTGTTGATATTTGTGACATACGATTCCGGGTCGTATTGCTGGTATCTGAAGTACGTGATCCCGAGAGCCAGGAGTGGTATCAGCCCCAGCACGGTAATAGGAGAGGGTGCCAAGCTTGCCAACGCGCCAGCCGCCTCCATCGTTACCTTCAAAATACATCTACGTCTATTCTAATATGTACAACTTATCCTACTAATCACAACTAAATCCAGTTTTCTATCTTTTTCCGCTGTTCGTCCGCCGATATTATTTTAGGCGTATAATTTCGTATACCGGCCTTTTTAGGTGTCGGTCCTGTCTCCAGCTTCGCTTTCTCAGTATCACTATGGTAACCTTTCAATCTAGCGCTCTTTATTTCTTCCTTATCGTCTAACAAGTGCTTGAAGTTTTTATCTTTGGGTAATTTAACTGGTTTGTAAATTTCTTTGTTTACGTCTTTATAATTATTATTCTTGTACAGTGATGTGCAATAATAGTCGCTGTTAGAAGATCCGTCAGAACGGCTCTCGTAAGCACTGGACCCGCTTCTATATCCGCTGCTTTCGTTCGAAGAATTGTCACTTTTGAAGCTTTCAGCACTACTCCTAGCTCTGTGGCGTTTATAATCTTTCCTATCGTAGTCGCTCGTTCGGTAATCGATAGGCGATACTCTATATTGTATCGGATCTTCGTAATTATTGTGATATTTCTTCACTGGTGCAACGCTGGCATGAGCGATATAGGATTGCTCTTGACCCATGATGCAATACGTGCGTGTCTCCTCTGGAGTGGATTATGAATTCTGTAATTAAATGAAAAGAAGTAGGTTAATTGTCAGTAGGTATTTAACTTAACATGTCGTCTCATACTGTAATACAAATAGAATTAAATTATAGTATTAGTTATAGATTTTAGAGGTTAAAATTATTCTAGTATAAATATAAAATATTATTTTTTTGTCATATTTAATTGTCATGGTCGGACTGATTTTGATAAAATTTGGCATATTACTACAGGAAAGTTATATTAATATAATAATTTCTTTTTGACCTTTTCCAAAAGGAAACGATCCTTCCTCTAATATCCTTAAAGACGATTTATCCCTTGTGAATTTTTATATTTTTTTAAATAAGTATAATCATAAATTACATTTTAAATAAAACATAAATAAAGCCAAAAACAGCGTAGTTATTCGACTAGTATATCTGCGATAGTGGATTTACTAGCGAGTGGAGAGGAATCAGAGATTCATATCCAGACTTCATCACTCGCTGTTCTATCAAGTCATTTGATACTCTTCTGATGGCAACGAGACAACTTGCACGCAAGTTATTTATATAATCCATCTGAAAGTAACGACAGCTTGATCTATTTCCGTACAGAGCCATCTATGATCGGTTTTGAGAATCATTTTAAATGGTTTTTTTAATTACATATTTTTATGATAAAGGTCTTTACATAATATAATGAAATTGTAACTGATCGCTGCCTTTAGTTTGAGAAAAAACTATTATTAGAAGATTTTAATAACCCATTAAAATCCAAAACAATGCCTTTTTTTGAATTTTTGTCTGTTTGTCTGTGCGTTTGTACGCGCTAATCTCAGAAAATCCTAATCAATTTAAGTGCAGTTTTCACTAATGTATTGTGATAAGCTTAATATTTAGTGTTTGTTTTAGTTCAATCGGTTCATAAATAAAAAAGTTATGTCAATGTAAAATTATCATCTAGGGACGAAGCCGAGCAAAATGAGGGTAAGTCGCTAGTTTATAACAAATTTATAAAGATAAAACATATATAAAGTTGTAGGAACTAAGAAAAAACTATTACTGATACTAATTTAATTAAATACAATATTATTGACATGTAGTATTTAAATATTTATATATAAAAATCCAACAATAAATACAATAAACTTATTTGTTAGCTTTAATGAAAGAAGATTTATTTTTATTAAGATTAACTTAAGTGTGCAGATTCAGAACCACCTGCTAGCAATTTCGCGACCGGTAAGGTCGTTCACCTCTACCGTTACTCGTTGAGCTCTTATTTTTTAATGTTTTATTTTATTTCATTATGCACACGCATTTATTTTAAGGATAAAATTTGTTATGACTATTTTTATATTATTACTAGCGTTTTCTCGCGACTCTGCCCGCGCCTTTTAATTTTGTACAATTAGTTTAGTCTTGTGCGATCCGTGTGATGTAGCCTATTATACCTTCCTTAATGAATACGCTATAAAAAACAGAAAGAGATTTTCAAATCGAACCAAGAGATTCAAAGATTAGCGCATTCAAACAAACGAACTCTTTTGTTGTATATATTTGTATAGATATATCTAGATGTAGAAAAAGACCAGGGTAAAACTAGTGTAGGTATTAATAAATGAAATGTAAGACAATTCTTAATTATGTAACAAAATTGAGCTACACATAAAATGCCTCTTCAAACTCTACAAAATCACGTTCGAGGTTTTTATTATCTACGGTTATAAACTTTCACTGGGTGGATGAATGGATGGATAGTTCAATACGTATTCTTTATAAACGTAATTAAACTTTTGTTAAGTATTTCCGCTACACAAAAACAAGCTTATATTTAGCTTTTTTATAAAGCAGTAACAAATGAACACTGTAAAAAAAAAACAGTTAAATTATTTCTTTATAACAGAACAAGCAGACTCACTCTTGCTTCTCTCGGGTTCGTCCCTACGTACGTTTTAACGGTCAGTATGGAATATGGACGACATATATACTAATATTAATGGTAAATGTTTGTGAGTTTGTGAGGTTGTAGGGGGTAATCGCTGGATCTACTAAACCGATTTAGATAAAATTTAGTAAGAATATAGTTTGAGACACTGGGAAGGACTTAGGACTTTTTATCCCGGAAATCATCCCTTAAGGGGGTGACATGGGGATGAAAGTTTGTATAACAAATTAACCTAGGGACGAAACAGAGAGAAGCGAGGGTGAGTCGCTAGTATTATATATCTACATAGGTATGATGAATTGTTGTGGGTTGAATTATAATATGTTTTTCCGTGAGGATAGATAATTTCTTGCTGTAAAAAGTAGCTCTCCAGCCCAGTCAATCACTCAGTCCGTCACCCTGTGTCAATGTGAAAGACGGACAAACAAATAAACACACATTCACATTTATAATATTAAAATATTAATATGGATGTCATATTTTTCTTAAGCATTTATTTTGTATAATGAAAATTGTTGTAATGTTAACGTGTAAATAATTTTATTATCAATGATAAAAATCTGTTGTAATATTTACTTTTTGATTAGCATTCAAGGCCAATTTGTCTTTGATATTTTTTACGCGGTATGTAATTTTTATACACAATATTCAAATTTATGCAAGTTCTATGCACGCATGCATTTAAAGTTTATTTAATAACCGGAAATTGGTGTCAAGGGATAAAGTATACTCTCAGTCTCACTGTCTATTAACTTAAATAGGTCTACAATCCTTTCTTTTTACAATAATAATTGTATTAAAATCTCCTAAGCATTCTTGTTGAGTTTTTGTGCAATATTCATAGTTTCAAGTGAATTTACTAAGAGTTAAACATATTTTTCACAGTAATAAAAAATAAATAAATGGTCGAAATACTATTTGCTTTAAAATATGTAATGCGGATTTGTTTACACGTCCAGTTTTAGTTGAACTGGTTAGTCAGCTTTATTTGCATCGCACACTTTCACTTAAATAATTATTCTTTTAATTAAAGTAATTATTTTTAATTAGGTATCAATTTGAATTTCAGCAAGTCTTATTAATAAATAATATGTCAAATGGTCTTTGGATAGTCTTTTTAAATAAAACTATCTTTTCGGATTTTTTTACATAAATTTATTTTGAATTTTGGTTTTTATTTTGATACAAGAGGAACCAAAACTCAAATTAAATTTACGAAAAAATCCGAAAAGATAGTTTTATTTATAAAACAAAACAGTTTTTAATTCAAATTGTAAAATATTCGCGTTGCTCATATATGCCCATACATAACGGTTATTGTGATCGTAGCATACGCCTGCGCACACCGGTTCGGCAACGTGGCGTGCCAGGCACGGAGCGTACCGGCACTGGCAAAATATTTTCGCCGAGAATTGTTAATGCTCCGTGCACGGCACGCGACGGTGTCAGTCGACGGAACGGTCTAGTGGGTAGTCTCATACTTTTCAATACAAAGAATATTTTTTTGCCCGGCACGGTCCTAGCACGATCATGGTATGACACGGTGTAGTGGACAGACTCCTTTAAACTAAAAATAATAATAAATAAAATAATACCCAACATAGATTATGTAATGTAAAAAAAAAACTTAACATTAATAGGTACCTAATACGTATTATCCATGAACGAATGTGGCTAATTCGTTCATGGTTTTATCTAAAACAAAGATCAACAAAATGCTCAACACTAAAAGCTCACAGAGCGTGAAAATTCACTTATTCATATTGTTTCGGAAATGTCACGTTGAACACCTGTGAGAGTTAATGCTACAGCAAAAACCTTTTTAAAGTAAACACGATAAGGATGAAATGAAGATGTGCAGAAAGTTTTAAGATGCAAATTGCATACTTTAATGCTTAATGCCCAAAACAAATACTTTTAAATGCTCCAACTCTTAGCGTTTACGAAATTATATTGTTTGTGCAAATATTAAAATATGTAATACAAATAAGGGACAAAAACAAATGTAGTTTTGTCAATATTTTTATGTTCCAAAATGAAAAGAGAAATTAAAAATATTTATTTGCAACTTTATATATTTGGTAAATGTATGTATGAACTTAGCTATAAAATAAAAGGCCAAAAACAAAAGTGTGGTGTGGTCATAGGTTTGATTTTCGTATAGAGCGTATATAATTTCGTATTTAATTTAGTATCACAACAGTAATAGAGACAAGCAGAATGGATTCAGCCACACTCAGGGGGCCATCATCGCTTTTTTAAAGGCGGAAAACAGGGAACTGTGAAATATGTATTTATCTTTTTACCAAGCAATAAATAAAAATTAATTAAAATTTAAACTAAATGACATATTTAGATTTTCGTGCAATTAGTTGGAGTTTTGTATTTCATCAAGTAAAAGAATTTCGTTATATGTATTATTATTTAAAATATGTATTGATAAAATAAAAGTCGTTATTTTATAAAATTGTAGCCTAGAAAAAGTTTTCTTAGAATGTAACTGCTTATATCTTTGATAATATTTAAATATTTAGTTTTACATTTTAAAATCACGTTTCCAATGATACACCTTTCGTCGTCTTCATATCCTCGCAAACCGTTATAAACTACCGGTAGCTGTTCTGCATGAATGCCTTCCTTAATTCCATATTAGTTTACTTACATATATTTCTATATACTTAATCATATAATAATACGTAACAAAATTAAAGTAAAAAAAAGAATGTTTTGTTGTTAATGTTATTTTTTTTGTCTCAGGTAAGTTTTTATAAAATAATAATAACCCACGACACGACTAACAGTTCCGGTACAAGCATAATATTAATATGTAATTTTCGTCCATAAATTATACAAAAAACTTTCTAAAAATCAGATCGATTCGATGTTCCATTTCTGGATTAAAAAAAGAAGAACTACTTACATACTTACTTTTGCATTTTCAATTTGTATAGCTAAATACATAATGATCTTGAAAAATGTTTAAGAAATGTGTACCTACGTCTGTGTATTACTAAGATAATTGCTTTTTAAATAAAAAAAAGTATA